CAAGCTGGTGCAGTGGAGTAGAGCAGGTTCTCAAATAACATCGTTTTGTTTAACATCTTTTCATTATAATATTGATGAGGGGAAAAAATCAACTCCTGGGCAGGGCCACTGTCTGTGTGGAGTTTGCACGGTCTCCCCATGCCTGCGTGGGTTCCCCGCACATCCACAAGATGTGCATGCGAGGTGAACTGGGTGTCTAAGCTGCCCCGTCTGAGTGAGGGTGGCGGTGGGAGTGAGAGGCCCTGGAAAGGCGTCCTGTCCAGGGTGGGTTCCCGCCTCGCACCCTGAGCTGCTGGGTCTTTATTTATAAGTTTGGCGATGTTTTTGTGACCAGAAATATGCCATAGAAATGTAACTCTTACTTATTTTGATTAGTAGATGGTAAAACCGGTTTCCTTATATGTCATTTTGCTTAAAGGCACAGTTTCAAAGAACCTATCGATGACATGAAGTAAGGACTTGGCGTAATAGAGAACTGAGGTCCAGTTGCAGAGGGTTGAGAAGAGAATGGGAGGTGAGGCAGAGTCTAGAGAAGCCTTTCAAAGAGTTTTGACTTCAGTCCCCATATGCCTTTTAAAAAAACAAAACACGTGTTATTTTAGGATAGTTGTAGGTTTTCAGAAAAATTGTGAGGATAGTACAGAGAGATCCATATATATCCCACACTCAGCTTCCCCAGCTTACATCAGTTATGGCACATTTTTCACAATTCATGAACCAATATCGATACATTATTATTAACTGAAGTTCATGTTTTATTCAGGTTTCCTTTGTTTTTACCTTTTCCTTTTTCTGTTCTAGGGCCCCACCTACGTTACCACATTATCTCTAGTCATCACTTCTCCTTAGGCTGCGACTGTTTCTCAGGCTTCCCTTGTTTTTGGTCACCTTGATAGTTTTGAGGAGTGCTGGTCAGATAGTTTGTAGAATGACCCTCAATTTGGATTTGTCTGGCATTTTTCTCACCATTAGACCGGGGTTATAGGTTTTGGGAGGAAGACGACAGGAGCGAAGTATCATTCTCATCACAGCTTATCAAAGGTGTATCAACATGACCTGTTGCTGTTGATGTGAACCTTAGTCACCTGTCTGAGGTCATGCTGGTCAGGTTTCTCCACTGTAGTTGGCCTTTTCCCCCCTTTCCGTACCATCCTCTTTGGAAGGATGTCCCTGTGCAGCCCATACTTAAGGAGTCGGGAATTGTGCTTCACGTCCTGGAATGCAGAATATTTGCCTAAATTACTTGGAATTCTTCAGAGGAGATTTGTGTTTTCTCCTCTATTCATTTTTTTATTCAATCATTTATTTATATCAGTATGGATGATGGATATTTATTTTATACTTTGAGTTATAATCCAACACTAGTTGGATTTATTTTATACTTTGAGTTATAACCCAACACTAGTTTTTAATTTTGTTGCTCAGATTGTTCCAACTGCGGCCATTAGAGCTCTTTCGGTTGGTTCCTGTGTCCCTTTGATGTACCCCCATCACTGTGGGATTTGTTTTTGTTTTTGTTTTTTGAATATTTTCTTACTTTCTGTTATTACAAAATGCTCCGGGCTCATCTTTTATACTTCTTGCCCCATTCCTAAAATAACCAAATCTCAAGGAGTCCTGGTTCCTTATATTGGAGAATGATATTAGAAACCAAGACCTGGGCATAAAGTGTGGTCATTGTTACTGGTGTGTTCTTGCTTCTAGGCCCTCCTAGCTGACAGAGCAAGGGAATATATGTGTGTATACTTACCTGTGTGTGTGTGTATTTCTATATGTATGTGTATTTCTGTATATAACCACCTGTATTTATATTAAGGTAAACATGAGTTCATATTGATATCTCCACCTCTAATCCATTACCACCTGGATCACTCTAGCTTCCTCTCCTTGCTTATCTGGACCAGTACCCTAACAGTGAGACACCTAGCTCCCACCATCCACCATCCATTTACTTAATTGTTCAGTTTCAGAATACATGTGTAATGGTGTCTGAGTTGTTAACTCACAGCATTATCAACTAGAGTATAGTACTCACGTGTAGTTCCTTCTACCTTTAGTCTTCCAGCCTTTACTCATTTTGGAAATTACTTAGGTAAGCACTTTTTCTTCTACCTCCTTCAGTGAGGTTGTTTCAAACATATACAATATAGTTAGGTACTTTTGTCATTTTCTGCATTTCACTCCAGGATCCCCTGACCTCAGAAATGATTTTTTAAAATTTGCATACACTAAGGTTCATTCTTTGTGCTGTGAAGTTCTATGGTTGTTTTTTTAAAATTTTTATTTTTAATATATCTTTATTGATTTGAGAGGGAGGGAGAGGGAGAGGGAGAGAGAGAGAGAGAAACTTCAATGATGAGAGAGTCATTGATCGGCTGCCTCCTGCACTCCCCCAACTGGGGATTGAGCCCACAACCTGGGCGTATCAGGGCGACACTAACCAACTGAGCTACCTGGGCAGGGCTTCATTCCTTTTTGTTGCTAAATGATATTTCATTATATGATGTACCACAATTTGGTTATCCAGTCACCTGTTGAACGACATCTTGGTTGCTTCCAGTTTTTGTTGATTATGAATAAAGCTGCTATAAATATTTGCAGGCAGGTTTTTATATGTATGTAAACCTTCAAATCAATAAATACTTAGGAGCGTGATTACTAGTCATATGGTAAGACTATGTCCAGCTTTGTAAGAAACTGCCAAACTGCTTCCAGAGTGGCTGTACCATTTTCCCTTTCTATAATCAGTGAATGAGAGTTATTGTTGCTCCGCATCCTTGCCTGCAATTGGTATTGTCAGTTTTCCGGATTTCAACCATTCTAAGAGGTGTACTCATTTGCCAGTCACTAAATCAAATACCTTGGTTCTCTAAGCTTTAGAGATCAATGAGAGTAAAGCAAGAGAGCTGGAATCCAGTGGGAATTTGGTTTCCAGAAATAATTAACCATGGGGTTGGAGAATTTTAGAAGCAACCTGTTCTGGTTCTCCCTTTCTTATTTTTGTTGTATGCTGAAGACAATGGGAAAGTGACATGAAATATTCCAAAAGAACACTGCAGGCTTGAACTCAGATGCTACCTATTTATATAAGGCAAGTAAGATCCACGTCCATCCAGTAGTTCCTATTGAGTTGTTGAGGGATTGGACTGCTTATATTGTACTGGCTGGTGGCTGGATGATGGTGACACAGTGGTGAATAAATCAGAAGTAGTCTTGTCCTCAGGAAGCTTACACTCTACCTGGGGAGACAGACAGTTACAACACACAGCAATCCGGGCTGCGATGGGAGAAGCATAGGGAGCTATGGGAACACCAGTGTCAGCATCTGACCAGTCTAGGAGGGGTCAGAGAGGCTTCTTAGAAGAAGTGACTTCTAAGATGTGGCCTTCAGCAGAGGTTGGCTAACTACAGTCCATTGTCCAAATTCAGCCTGCTTCTGGCTTTTGTACAGCCTGTGAACTAAGAATAGTTTTTACATTTTAAAATATTTGAAAAGAATCAAAAGAGAATAATACTTTGTGACATGGAAATTATATAATATCCAATTTCAGTGACCAGAGTGACCATAAATGAAGTTTTACTGGAATACAGCCATGCCCATGGCTGCTTTTGCACTATAATGGCAGAATTTGAATAGTTGTGACCAGGACTGTATGGCCTACAAAGCCTAGGACATTTTCTCTTTGGTCCTTTATAGAAAAACTTTGCTGGCCCCTGGCCACAGGATGAGTAAGGGTTAGCCGTGTAAAGCAGAGTAAGGAAGAAGGAAGTCGGTTTCTAATGGGATCTTTGTATAACTGCAGTAATTTTAATATACTTTGAATATGGCATTCAAAGAGGTAGGGGGCCAGAGGTGGGCAGGATCTTGACTTGGCAGCCATATTAAGGGGTTTGAGTTTAATCAGTGGGGGGCTTTTAAAAGGTTTTAACTGATAAGATCGGGTTTCCTTTTTCAAAAAATCCTCTGGCCATATTGTAGAGATTGGGTTAGAGAGAGTGGGGTGAAAATGGAGACAGGGAGACTAGTTGAGGTTTCTGAAGTCATTTCAGGGAGATGTTGGTAACCTGGACTAGTATAGTGATGTTGGGGATAGGAATGTATTGATTTGAGAGGCATTAAGGAAGCAAAATTGAAAGGCCTTGGTGATCCATTGGAGGCCTTGAAATGTAATTATTTTCATGTTTCATATGATTGTGTTTTCAATTCCAAAGTTTGTTTGTTTTTTTCTGGATCATGTGAAAGCATGGTTGAGAAGTCCATGTTTAGTAATAGTCTTCAGAGCAAAATTCTTTAGTGATGTTTCATGCCTCTGGTGCTCCTCGTAACGTGCGTATCGAAGCAGCATCTCTCTGTGGCCTCTTCATGCTGTTCCCTGTTGACAAGAGCTCTGGGTTTTAAGGAGCAGAGAAGCTATTGGCCAATTAATTTTCTAATTATCTTGGTTTAACAACTTTCCCAAATATTTCTTTGTTGCAAGTCCTTGGGCTCCTTGGTTTTCAAGGCAATTTGTTGGCACTGACAAGGTCTTCTCATTCTGTAGTGTACTCAGGCCCTTTCCAGTTTTAAATATCTAACTCTTGCCTTTTCCCCCTTAGAAATGAAGTCTCACTTGCAGTAAGGGGTAATAAGATCTTATATTTTATAATATGTTGTGTTGTTTCAGGGTGTTTACTCGCATGTCATCTATTTGATCCCTACAATAAACCTGTGAAGAAGGCAGGACAGATCAAGTTACTGAGACTCGGAGAGATTAGGTGACTTGCACAAAGTCAAAGGACAGTAGATACTAGAGCTGATGATAGAACTTAGGTCACAGATATCACAGCTGTGTTCTTTCTATAATGCACTCTGTTTCCAAGAAAAGGGAGTCAGTCTTACTGTGTTATGTTTTCAGCAGTAAAGGCATCTGGATGAAATACTTTTTTTCTTTTCTTCTTGGTATGCTCTGTGGGAACTTCACCCAGACACCAACATAGATAGGCCTTTCCTGTGCTTTCAAGCAGTATGTGGACTACCAGTAATTCCTAGTAGGATTTGAGAAGCTGTGGTCTGTATGTTAAAGTATATGTAAGAGTATATGTAACTATGTTTTATTTTAATTCCTTCTCCCTCCCTTTAGGTGGTTCTCACTTGGACAGTTTGAGGCCAAATGGGAAAGGCCTGTTTGTGGACCAAAGCTCCCGGGGGCAGGATAAACCAGAAAATGTGCCCACAAGGTAATGCAGCTCTCCCTTCACTACTGCCTCTTAGGACTGAGGTTTTCCTCATTATAGAACTGAAACCATTACTGTTCATGGTGTAGTTCTCCCAGGGTAGCTGGCCTAAGAAGTGTTGGATATTTATTGAGCACTCACTGGGTATGTGAGGCACCTTGCACTTACACAGATTATCTTATTTTAACCTGAGAGGTAGGTACCATTATTTCTATGTCTTACAGCTAAGGAAACAGGTGAGAAGAGAGGTTATAAAACTCACCCAAGATCTGGAACTAGCAAGTATCAGATCTAGGATTTGAAAAATGGCAGTCTAATTCTACCTTAGAAATGCAGAAGATTAGAAACATTTTGATTTCTCCCTCCCATTCTTTTAGGAGTTTTCTGACTCTGAAGTCTTCTCTTTTTCTGTTTTTATTTACTCCTTTCTTCTTTCTGATGTGCTGTTATATTTAGTCTGTACTCTAGTTCCCCCTACTGATCATAGCCAGAATCTTCTGGTCAAGATAAAACTACTTTCTTGGGTCAGTATTTTAGTTTTGCACTTAAGCAGCAATGAACAGTCCCTGAACTTTTTTTTTTTTTTTTTTT